CACAAAAAAATCCAGACTTGTAAGTAGTCAGGAGACCAAGAATCGAGTCAAAATAAAATACAAAATGGCGACCCTCTTCTACAAACAGGCAAAACAGCCATCTCACCTTGCAAAGTCAGGTAGGGAAGAGTACCACCCACAGTCATTCTAAGAAGTGAACTCTGACCTTAGTAATGAACACATAAATACAAATAAAATTTGTAATCTAATTTTGTAAATTTGGGAGTTCTTTAAATATGACGTTAAAATGGTTTTATGTCATTACAAGTGGGTTTTTTTAAATTATCTAGTATAGTAAAATCAAGGGACCAATAAAAATTTTGTGTGTAGGGCAGAGGACACCACCGCATGACCTTTGCCCTTTGAACTCACTTTGCTCCTAAACTCTAATGAGGAGAGACATCTTTTTACTTCATTTAGTTAACCTTTCAATTCGACAGCCATGCTGATGTTGTATTTATAAAATATTGCAACACTAATGTAAATATCACATAGCTGATACAAATTAAGTAAAAAAATGATCAGTTTCTCAGTTAATTTTTACTGACAGAACAAAAGATGCAGAACACATGGACAAGGTAGGAGAGACATCTTTTTGCTTCACGTTAATTAACCTTTTGAGTCAACAGCCATGCCGATCTTGGATTTGTATTATATCTCGACTCTATTGTAAATTTCTCATAGCCGATCCAAATTAAGTAAATTATTTGCCTGGGTCATTTCTCAATTTTTACCAGCAGAACAAAAGACGTGGAGTTCACGGACAAGGTAGGACGTGCCAAGTACAGATTTTAGCCACGCCGCTAAAGATGTTATACTAGGGTTGTTGTTACATCTGATGACATTATAATCGGGTTAAACTGTATATTGTTTGTGCAAAATAAAAAAATAATTTCAGACAATACAATAGCCACAATTATTTTTTCAAAAACGGGAAATTTTCATTAGGTATCGACAAAAATTCAACCCAGGCCAACACTCAATGGAAAGAAATTTCGACATAGATAGGTTAATTTCACCGAAAATGCATCATGGACAACCTCGTGGACATGGCCAGCAAAGTCTGAACTATCGTGCTCAAAACCAGCCATACCAAAGAAAATTGGAGAATGAGAATGAGACCCGCTTGAACGTCAAAGTGATTCCGCTTAGTAGTGAGTCTCCAAGACATAGTCTTGTCCCAAATATGGCTTTGCCGTTTTACTTGTTTGCTTTTATTACAGCTAGAGCTGAAAATCTGGCTTTGCATAATTGCAAAGCCAGATCCATGCAAATTTCTCAACATTGTCTTCCTCCAAGTATTTTGAAAACCAGTCACTGAGCTTTGAGAGGTGTTCCTTGAAAAGGGACAGCAAGTCTTGTGAAACGATGACTTTATTACAGGTCACGTATTTGTGCAATTCAGGGAAACAATGTTGACTGCCATCCTCATTGATTTTCCTTATCCACAACTGCAACTTTTTCCTAAATGTTGCAACCTTCTCCAAAAGTTTCAAAATGTGCATGTTATTGCCTTGCAGAGACAGATTGAAGGCATTCAGCTTGTCAAATATATTGCACAAATATGCTAGTTTCAGCAAAAAGTCTGGTTCAGCAAAGTACCTGGAGTTTTCATGACCTTCCTCTTGTAAAAAAGTGTGAATTTCTTGATGTAGTTGGAATGCATGAGCTAAGACGTTGCCGTGTGAAAGCCATCTGAACTTCAGTAGTATGTGTTCAGCTCCCGTGTCCATGCATAACTTTTTGAAAAATTTGGCTTTTAGTGGCCTAGTTTTTATGTAGTTTACTATGTCTACAACACATTTTAATACCAAATTCAATTGAGGGCTCATTGACTTTGATGCAAGTGCTTCCCTATGAATGATGGAATGGGTCCACATAGCATGTGGTGCTTTGCTGAGAATAAGCACCTGCAATCCTCCATAGCAACCAGACATTGATAGAGCTCCATCAGTACATATATCGATTCACATTTCCCAATCCAAATCATTTTCAGTTATAAACTTGTCAAGCATCTCAAATAAGTCTTGAGCCTTTGTTCTTCCAATGATGCTTTGCAGAACAGGAAGTCTTCAATAATATTCCAGGAAGCGTACATAACAAATAGTGTGTGCATCTTTGTTACTGTTAGTAGCGTCATCAAGTTGCAGACCAAATTCTCTGCCTTTTATTTTCTTTATTAATTGGTCATAGATCTAGAGCTATATGATGGATTCTTCGATTAATAGTGTTGTTTGACAAAGGTACCTTTGAAATTAATTTTTCCGCCAATTCTCCCAGCATAATATTAACCATGTTAAGAGCAGTCAGTATAAGCTCTTCCACAATGGTGTGAGGTTTTTTGCACTTTGCCATTCTGTATGCAACCTTAAAAGATACTAGTAGTGCATTGCTTGGTACTGAGTCTTGTTTAGTAAATACACTTTTTTCCTTTTGTAAATCTTGCAACTTCCTACTAAAGAATTCGTGAGATTTTTCAACCATGTTAGAGTGATTGGTCTTGAGATGTCGCTTTAGCTTATTTGGAAGCATACACTTGGGTGCTAGAACTTTTAAACAGAGCACACATTGCAGTCTCTCTTCATTGTTTACTTCTACTGAAGTAAAGCCAAAATTCAAATAGTTATCATTGTATTTACGCTACCCCACCACTTGTTGATGCTTGATCACTCTGACTTAAACTGTCGACTTGCTTATTTAATAGAAATCTTTCCATTTTCCTATGACTATACGAAAATATAAAGCAACACACTGAAATAAAGCAGATGCTCCTCTGGTAGCAGGCATCTTAAAACTGTTTACTTTTCTTCTCAGATGTTTACTCTTTGATTGTTATTTAGGAACTGAATTGGTTCGCTGAAGTGGTGTACTGTATTTATACTAGCCACACCACCTACTTAGAACTTTTGCGAAACTTCAACAATGTCTGATAGTATGCTATATAAGTCTTCTAGAGATCTAGAAAGTTCTACAAGCTATGGGAACAATCTAGAAAGTTCCATTTGCTTCAAAGCCCTTGCAGTGCCCGTTTACTCTTTACGGAACCCAAGGTGCCGCAGCGCACACTTAGGGAACCCAAAATAAAGGATTTAATATTGAGATTTATTTAATATAGAGATGAGTTTTTCTGTAAATGCTAACAAGTAAAATCTTCATTAAGATTTTGAGGTGGTGCGAGATCCCACACAAGATATGACACGTGACCACCCTCTATCTCTCCCTCCCTCTTGACCTTTCATCACTAAAATTTAATAGCATCAATGCCTGTTATACACAAGCTACCATGCCAAATTTCTTAATCTTCACCCCATCCTGAAATTTTAAACAAAATAGACTCCAACACACACACACACGGAACATTTTTGGGTTTGGTGGGTCTCAAAACAGAGATTTGTAAAAAAACTAGGAGGGTCAAATTTGACACAATTTTAATACTTTCCCTTGTTATATATACATAAGTTTCTTTGTTTGATTAAGTTATGGCAATGCAACACTTGAGCGATCTGCCTAAGGAAATGCCTTCCAGGAGGTCTTTTTAAGGATAACTGGACCCTACTCAGGTGTTACAGACATTGAGAAAACCCAGAAAACTCCACATGGCCAGCCCATCCAGGCAAGGTGCAAATCCATGACTGAAAACCCAGTGTTTAAGGAATGGAACTGCTTGGCCACTGGTGAGCAGGTATATATAATAAGAGCCAGGAAAGTAAATGGAATGCTTGTGCATGTTGTAGGTTCAAGTCTTGTATATGACAGTATACAATTAATTGGTTAAAGCATCAACCTATTGCTCTGTAGAACTTGGGATCGAATCCAGATGAGAAACCCAAGAAATTTTTCGGGGGTAGTTGGGTCCCATCCCTCATCACCCCCATTGTGGTCCATATTTTGTTTATGTATTAGATGTATGCATCATTAACATATAAGAGCCAATCTCTTCCATCAAAGTAATTATTTTTTATATAATCTTTCTATCCTGTGAGCACTAAGATGATCTTTTTTCTAAGCCCATTGAGGGTTCAGCCACTATCCCAGGGGTGGCCAACAGTTTTTGCCCCCAGGCTGAATTGGAAAGAAAACTTTTTTCACGGGCCAAACCAGAGACTGCCCTAGGAAGATTTTGAGGTGGTGCGAGATCTCATTGTAGTGTCACCCCTGTAGAGACTAAATTGTAGATAGAGATTACAGATATATTTTTCACATTATCATGCTTTATCAACATTCTACACTGTACTGTACTTAAGAGATCTGTAATGGAGGGTTAACTCTAACCGGACAGCGAGTTGTTTATTATTATTATTATTTTTTTTTAATTTGCATTAGAACTTTTCACCAATCTATTCTGACTTGAGTAGCTAATATTGAAAGATTAATTCCGGGCCACATAGATCCATTACATGGGCTGTATGTTGGCCATGCCTGCACTATCCAATTGTCCCACTTTGGGTTTTTTTTTCTTTACTCTTTTTGCCCTGTGAGCACTAAGAGGGCCTCTTTTTATCAAGCCCGTTATGGGTTCGGCCAGGCCCACAATGGAGTGGCCAGGTGGTGAGGGATGGGGCCAACATATCTAGTCAAATCCCCTGGAAAAATTCCTGAGGATTTTTCAACCCATCCAGATTCAATTCCTGGTCTCACAGAGCGATAGGATGCCACCTTGACCGCTCAGCCATCTGGCCCCCTCTTTGGGCTTAGGATGATGAGGGATATTTAGAATATTCTGGATAAAAAATTCTTAATTAAATTAGTTTACTTCTAATTATTAAGTTTAACAGGAGATATCAGCAGTTTAACCATCTACCTCTAGCCAAATTGCATATTGATTGATTAGCCTTAAAGTAGTCAGATTAAACATCCAGTTCACAGATCTGTGATCCAGCTGTTCGTGTAGTATTGCTTATTTTCATTGTTTTTTGTAGTTACATAAATTATGTAATATATATATCTGTTTCTTTTAATAAAATTTAAATTATTATAATTCTATTTTCATTTTAATTTAGAAATTGCTCAAAATTTACAATATGGACAAGGAGAAATTTAAATATGTAAATAATATTGTTGAATCTGAAATCAATTTAGAAGAAGAGGAAAAAATAGGGATAGATGCACTTTTATGGTTGAAAAGGTATAAAAATAATTAGTCTTTTATGGTAGTGAAATTTTAATTTTACAATACTTTGCAATTAAAATATTTTATTGAATTAGAGCCCTTGAATATATACAAGTGTTCTTAACATGTTTTGTTGAAGATTATCAAGAGAAAAAAAATACAGAAGATCTAACCCCATATTTTAAGAAAGCGTACGAATTAAAATTAAAGCCATATCATGGATGGTTTGTCCAACAGCTATTTGCGGTGAGTTTATTATAATCCATTATTATGAGTAGGGGATCATTCAAATATTATGTTAACAGTTTTGGGGAGAGGAGGCATTCTTTTTTATCTGACAGTTGCTAATAATGGGAGGAGGGTGGATGAATCTTTGACACAAGATTGCACTCTTCTATTTTTCTCCTCTGATGTAAAATTACCTAAAAACAATTTCTGTGTTTTTGCAAATGGCTTTAACTTCTGAGTTGATAAGATAATTAGTGGGAGGGGTACCTTGATTTTTGATGACTGATGATGATGGGGAGATTACAAAGGGCAAATTCCTGTTGTTGTAATACTTGAACAACTCATAAGAGGTCTTGGATATAAATTTTTAACATTTGTAATGATGGATATTTGGATTTTAGTACTCTTAATCTTCATTAGCAGACTATTCTGTAGTTTGTATCCTACGTGGATAATGGAAAAAAACAAATTTGTACTGTATCTAAAAAGTTGATGTAAGAGATTATTAAGAATGTGAGTATTTGGCCCATCCGTTACTGAGTGGATAAAACCACTGAACATTGGTAGTTAGTCTCAGGGTTGCACCTCACCAATGTGGAGTTTTCTGAATTTTGTTCTCGTGTATAAACACAAAAAATCCCAAAAACTCTACATGTTTAGCCCATTAGTGGAGTGTGAACCCACTATCAGTGTTTAAAGTTTTATTTACTCAGCTATTTGTGGATGTATGGATTGCAGTGGCAATTCTCATTTCCATTATATTTTTTCTTTAAATATAATTAAATATTTGTAATAATAACAATTATTATTGCTATTATTTTAATTAAAAACTTAATTTTTACATTTTTAGCTATGCATAAAAGTGGCTCCTTTTAGGAAGGATCTAATTAAGTTACTGGGTACAGGTATGGAAAATTTTAACGAAGAAATCATTATGAATGACATAGAGGAATTTCTGAATTCACTTAATTCTAACTTAGAAATTATAGTTGCTATGTATGATGAAAATAATTTGAATTCTACAAAAGTTGTATAAATATTGTAAAATTTTCACAAGTGCCTCTTCACTCATCAAAATGCTTCATACAGTATTTTCATACCAATGATTTTATAACAGTTATTAATTATTGTTGTCAAACTTTTAATTTATGAATGTTATGCTTTTTCGATGTAATTTCATTATTTCAATATTATTTATTGAAATTTTAAATGTCAAATGTATAATAAAAATGTTTGTAATTTTAGATAGGTGGAAATGAAACATGGTTTGTAATTATTCGATTATGTATATGTTGTAAAAAATTTAATTTCACATATTTAAGTTCAAATTAATAAAATAACACTAAATGAATTTCTGATGATCTCACTTTAATTAAATATATCATATCTAATATCATATACAACTATGTTCAGAGAATTAAAATGAAAAAAGCAGCTTCACATCACTATGTTCCTCCAAAAACAACTATAACTAGACGTAACATTTCTTGTGCCACTGATCTAATTTATGTAAGCAAACTGCTGCTTTGGCTTCTAGTGCACTGAAACTGGAGAACTACCAAATGTTGTGAGGGAACCATTTCATCCAGATTCCAAGATCTGGAAGATATTTGCTTAAAGGTTGTGTGTGTTGTGAATTTTATCATCACTGCATTTTAAATCATTTAAATATTCATGACTGTATAATTAATTTTATTTTATTTTGAATATATTCTATAAATGTATTTATATATTAATATATGTATAAAAATAAAAAATTTATTTTTAGTCTGAATTTTATATAATATTTTATCAAAATGTAAAATGTTTCTACAAAATTAGAAGACTAATTATCACTGAGATATGTGCAATTTTCAGCAATTTTATGTATAAATTTTGCTATTCCAATGTAAAAATTTATTTTATAGCAATGAAATGAATGGATAGAGCAAATCTTTTATTTTCATTATTTATAAACAAATTTCCTGAATTAGTAGGTGAGTAGATAAAACCGCTAAACACTAAGGTGCATTTCAAATTTATACAGACACAAAAAAATTAAAGTGAAACCCAAATTTGCTGCATTAAGTGACAAATGTTTTATTAAAAATAACATGGATTTACATGTTTCCACACTGCAAAATAAGAATTTTAATTAAACATTAACATTTTGTCACTGAAAATATTATTTTTGAAGATTTTGTATAAAAAAACTGTTACATATTTATCTGGACAGGTTTCAAATTGCAAAGTTTTCTTACAATTTAATGGCCAATGTAACTACCATTTAACTTAATTATATTAATTAAATACTCGATTAGGCATTGTTTCAATTAGATTCTGAAGGAATTCAATCTTAAGTTCATCCCAAGCATCTGAAATTGCTGCCTTCAAATCATGAATTGTGGAAAACTGCTTTCCATTGGTATAAACTGTATGAACCATCATCCCCCAAAGATTTTCCATTGGATTCAAGTCAGGACTTCTAGCAGGCCAGGTCATCAGATTAATATTTTTATGTTTAAACCACATTTTTGTTGATTTAGAGGCATGCACAGGGGAATTGTCTTGTTGAAAGATCCAATTTGGTCCAGCTTCCAATAAATGATCTTCTTCAAGCATACCTTGATACTTCTCTGAATTCATTCTGAGTTATAAATGATAAATTTGTGGTTCCATTGAATCCAAATGCACCCCACACCATTATTGATCCCCACCCATTTGGTATTTTGAAAATATTTGTTTTTCGGTTCTTAAATCATGCCAATAATACTTCAACATCTAAGTTAAATTTTTTTTTCATTACTGAACAAAACTTCAATCCATTCTTTGGACCATGTCATGTGTTTTTGTGCCCAATCACATCTGTCACTTTTGTGCTTTAATGAAAGTGGTGGCATTACAGCTTTTTTCTGAATTTTAACATTGGAGATTTATTTAAAACTCTCCACATTGTTGTGCTGCTACAAGGCAAGTCTAATTCTTGTTTTATTTTTCTTACTGATGTTTGTTTTGTGGAGCAAACCTTAATGATTTGTCTACAATCTTGAGGAGTAAGCTTGGGTTTTGGACCTGTCTTGAATTTTGGTACATCCTTGCCATGTGTTTTTGATAAATAATCACCAACAGTTGATTTTGGATGATTTATATATGCTGCAATTTCTCTTATTGACTTGCCTTGTGATTTATAGGCATCAATCTGCCCTTTTTCATAATCAGATAAATTCTTTGTTGTACCCATTTTAGAACTTTGAACAACATAAAGAATTTGTATTACAATTAGATATGTAAGCTAATTTGCATATTTCAATGCTTGAAACTAAATATTCTATTGAAGTCATGAAATGAGTGCCTATCCGGATAAATATGTAACAGTTTTTTTGTACAAAAATTTCAATAATATTATTTGCAGTGACAAAATGTTAATGTTTGATAAAAATTCTTATTTTGCAGTGTGGAAACATGTAAATCCATGTTATTCTTAATAAAACATTTGTAACTTAATGCAGCAAATTTGGGTTTCACTAATTTTTTGTGTCCATATAAATTTGAAATGGACCTTAGTTGTACATACGACTGCACCTCGTCAAAGAATTAGGCATATGAAGTTTCTCGGATTTTCCTTCCATTAGAAGTCCTCCTGAGAGGAATTTTCCTTGGTAGAAGATCCATGTGTTATGTTGCCTTATTTCTTAAAGTCTGTTATAGAATTAGTGAAGTGTTTATTGCACAATTTAAAATTTTCTATACAATAATTCTTACAAATTCAATTTTTATCTGTAAAAAATTCTACAGTATTGTTTGAATTTACTGTATGCAGCTTTTCTTTTAACAGTATTCAACAGGATTTATGGGATTTACGTAAAAGTAACACTTGTCATTAGTAAATTGTGAATGAGAAATTTGTTGGTGGCATTTGATTCAACTTGAAACACATTTTCAAGGTATTCAAATATACTACTATGCATATGTAGCTAGAACTACTTCTAAGATTATCAGCACAAAACCTTTCTCACTAATTTCTAGCCTTATTAACAGGAGTACAAACGTTTTCGGCCTTCTTAATAGGCCTTCCTCGACGCTCCACAGTGTACCCGAGGAAGGCCTATTAAGAAGGCCAAAAACGTTTGTACTCCTGTTAATAAGGCTAGAAATTAGTGAGAAAGGTTTTGTGCTGATAATCTTATTCAAATATATTTACCAAGATAGATATATCGAATTTTCCAATTGCAAAGTTGTGGAAATGCTGAAATTAGTCCAAATCTTGCTTAAAATCAATTGATTTGAAAGATACAGACTAATCTCAGCATTCATTTCAGAGTTTTCTGGATCACTTGATTGGTTGAGGAGGATCTATGGGATGGCCACCACTCTCACCAAATACAACTTCAATTTCCTTTGGAAAAGCTTAAAAGATAAATTTACTCAACACCTACAACCAACATTGCAAATTTGCAGAGTAAAAAGCAGCAGAATTTGTAAAGTTACTTCAGACATCATTCAAAACAATTATGATTCAATTGCCTCCTAGGCTCAGTTGTATACTAATATTGGACAGCATTTTGTGCACTTAATAATTAAATTTGGATGCAATTGTTTTGTTTTTTTATATTAAAGAAACTTCTCTGCATGGTATACAGAAGTCAAGCTGCTCTGCACTGCTTTAAACATAAAGTTGAGTTATTGTTTCATAGCATTTTCTTGGAGAAATTTAAGCAATAAAATTGATTTGAAGCAAGATTTAGACTAATTTCATCATTCACTATAACCTTAAAACTGGAAAATTTAATGTATAGCATATTTGAATGACCTTGAAAATAAGTTTCAAGATTTGTTTGGAATAAGGCAACACAACATATGCAATCTGCCATGCCTCCCTTGGGGACTTCTCATGGGAAACTGGACCATATTTAAGTGTTAGATACATGAAGAAAACCCAGAAAACTCCATATACCCATCCCATTGATCATCTATAAACCTGAGACCAACTACCAGTGTTCAGTGGTTTTATTCATTTGGCCACTTGTGTAGCATTGCTATTTTCCCCACAAATCAAGTTTCAAAGCATTAATGCTATACAGAAATTACTATGATCAATATCAAAAAGTTTGTAAAACTTAAAAATTTTAAATTTTCCAGCCCTCAGGACCTGTTATGGAGGCAATCTTGATGTGCTACATATCATAGATACCTTTTTTTAATAAACCCAGAGGTTTAGCCATGCCAAAAATAGCACAGTTAGGAAGTGAGGATCAAGGCCTGGCATATCCATGCTAGACCACCCATAAACATTCTAAGGAGGATCCAACTTAACCTAAACTCAGATTTCCACAGTGGCAGGCCTTTGTCTCTGCTCTGGAAGACCTAACTAAAGCAAAGTAGCTAAGTTTTGTCCATATCTTAACCATTTGACTATTCAGATACAACAAATTCTAAATTTTATTTAAATTTTTTTTAGATAAAAATTGTGTCCAAATTAACACACTAATAACTACAATTTGAGTATTTAAATAAATATAAAAAATAATTTATTAAAAACTCAGTAATACTTATCAAGAAATATTTATTTTGCAAAAATTATTAAATATGAATTGATAAAACACAAATATTTTTATTTACAAAAAATTTACAATAATAGAATTTTCATATGGAGAATGACACAAATATTTAAATTTTTTTTTCTTCCAAAAATTTTCAATAAAAACATCGCTCTGCTTACGTTTAAAATACAGTGGTCCTTTACATAATGTACACTATGATAATTTATCTTTTAATGAACTGGAATTCATTATTTACTTTGATCTTTTTGTATGATTTTTTCTTTAAAAGAATTTTTATTTACATTATTAAAGACAATTTGAAATCATCATTCTTTTTGTTTTTGTTTTTTTTTCCTTTAAAGAATAGCTGTTATATACAAGAAAGTGGAAAAAAGTTTTGACTATTTGACAAAAAAATTTATATGAATTTTGTTAATTTTGAAATGCATATAAATTTAAATTAAGTATTTTCAAAAGATCCGGGAGATGCAGGAAAAACCAAGGGATGATCCAGATTATGTACAGACGAACTCCTCGTCAGATTTAATGATCCTGAATGTGAACTGCTCGAACTTAGTTCTTCGTAACTGCCATGAAATTCTATAAAGAAACAGAGATATGGTTAGCGGCAAAATTATAATAATAATAATAAAAGATATTTAAAGTTTGTTTTTCTTACAGTTTTTATGTTAAATAATTGATAATGAGAAAGTTATTTCAGTTCAGCATACTGTTAAATAGTAAATTTATTAGAAAATATTGCTGTTTGATAAATACTAAATAAATCTGATTTACTTGTATAAGAAAAAGTTGTAGTAAAACGTTTTTATTTCACTGCAGAAAAACTCAAAGTTTCGGCATGATGATTATGAAGACTTGATGTAGTGGTACATTAGGGTTTGTTGGTTTTTAAAACTCAGTTTAAAAAATCAGATTTTTGAAGAAATTTATATAATTTTAAAACTGGGTTTTCCCAACTAAATAACTAGTTTTTGAACCTAGACTTAAACATAAAAATGAATTATCATATTTGATTAAAAACACCAATTTTTTGACACAAAATCATCTCTGGCGTGAAATGGAAATATTGTTAAATAATAAGTTTCACAGAAGTAACTACAAAAACAAAAATTTTCCTATGCCTATAAAGCATCCAATTCTCCCTACAATATGGAGAAATCTTGTAACAATGAAAAAAATGATAGAAAGATTTGTAGCTTCTCACACACATGTGGAATGAAGCAGAGTATTGTAAAATTATAGAGCTCCTTGAAGTTTTAAGACAAATACATTTAGCAGCTGTTGTCTTAGGATGACAAGATTTGCATCTTATCATCCTATTTATTAACAAGTGAAGGCTGTTTATTAACAAGTGAAGTTATGTGAATTGAAAAATTTGAAAACTGAAATTAGTTCAAAGTTGTTACATGCTGTAGCAGTGTGAATTCAAGAGAGAAGACAAACAGGATTAGTAACACTACTACTTTATTTACAAAATCCACAGAATGTTTGGAGAAAGTCTTCTAGCATATTTCTTCTACTAGCTTCAAAATCTGATATCATTAAGTTATCTGGACAAATATTATAGAGATTATATCCAAATTATTCTATAGATGACTGCAATGATGAAAAAGTGACAAAGAAGAAAATCAAGCCATAGCTTAAAAAATGCTATGGAAAAATCGATACATAAATATCTTCAAAAACCTAAAGAAGTGACTTCATCCAGCACTAAGACACTAAAAAAAGGAGTTTTTAGTATTAGAGGGTACAAACAGAAGAACAAAAAATTTAGATTTATTCTTTAATGATCTACAGATGACTAAACACAGCTCAGTAGCAATTGAGAAAGTTTTTTCTATTTCTGGCNATAGGCCTAATTTGTTATACATATGTATTATCTAAGATTTTATTAAACATTTTTTTCTAAATTATTGTTTTCTTTAGTCTCCGGCCCCAATTAAAAATTATTTGTATGTATTTATATGCAAAATTATACCCCGACTTACGCAAATTCGACTTACGCGGTTACCGCTCGGTCCCACCTATCGCGTAAGTTTGGGGTATTACTGTATTTTAAATAACAATAGTTAACAACACAGATTTATTTTTGTTTTAATACTAATATTTGTATTCCTGATGTAAATTTTATTGAAACATAAGCAAGCACAGATAATCTGTATGTGGATAATCGAGAGTATACTACACATCATAAAATTAGTGTTATGTATTCTGAAAAATACATACAAAAGTTGTACTACAAAGTGTATTATAAAGTGAATTATAAAATCTCTTAAAGATAAAAAAGTATACTTTTACTTTTTTTATAGTGAATATGCTTAATGCTTAAAACATTATTTAAAATGCCAAACTACAGATTAAACAGAAAACAAATATTTTGTTATATTTTTGAAATTTTATAAATAAAAAGTTTTATTAATTAAATATAAATTAAAAAGTTTTAAAATAAGTTGTAAATATTTCTTATTTCCATGTTTTGGAGGTGAAAATTCAAAAACCAATTAAAACCGGTTTTGTAGAAAAGTTGAGATTTGAAAACCTTTTTTTTTTAAAAAGTCAATTTTTGTATAAACCCTAATGTACTGTACATTTTGATATGCTCTTTCTTTTCTTTTTTATGACTTAAAACTTCTTGATATGCAGGATGTCCCAGAGGTCTGGAACAATAGGATCTTTGTTTATTCTTCTACTGGTAAAACTTGACTCAGAGTAAGGAAAAAATGAATTTGAGTTATTTTAATGGTGGATTTGCAGTCAACATAAAGTTGCCAGAGTTTAACAGGTTGCACCTTGACTGTCATGATGATTAGTGGGAAGTCTGGATGCAGCCCATTAAACTTTTCAGTGACTGTAGGTCCCGCACCATCGAAATAACTTGAAAATTCCTTCTCACTTGCTGCCATGCTTTACCTGTAAAAGAATAAACAAAGAACAACTCATATGGTTCCATACTTATTAGATACACCCTGTATATACATTTTTATGTTATTAATTATACACATTATGTATAATGCTCAAATTCTAAATAAACATGGCATCTGAAAGTCAAAGATTGCCTCTACACCCAAAAATTACAAATTTCTTATATGTAAATATAATATACAGTATACTTCTGACTATCCAGGCTAATCATTGGTAATGGAGGCATGGATAATCTAAAAGTCTGTTTTAATGAAAGCTAACTGATTTTTTTTTATTTAATTTATTACGTTAAATTTAATATGAAATTAAAGTTTTTATATTATGAATAAAATACATATTGAAACTTAAACTTTTCATTAATTAATAAACTTTAGATGTGGTCAGAGTTGAATAAAACTTTTGACATGAACAGAAAATTTAGAAAAGTTTATTGAACTAGCATCTTGCAGTTCACTATCAATTTCTTCTATTATTAACTGAAAATGACAGGTTGCCAGATAGATATCATAGTAAAACATCATTCATTTTGCAATATTAATGATTTATTGATAAGGAAATGATTCAAAATATTTTCTTCACACAATTTTACAACTTATGTGTATATGTATTTTTACATAAGTACAACCATATTGTTCAAGAATCAACTGCACCTAATGTACTTGTTAGGACATTTAATTAATTTATGCCTTGATGTTCTGGAAATAATTCTGATGCTCAATAAATCTGTGTTGTTAATCCTTCCTATTTAAAATGGTAAACAATAATACCTTGACTTACGCGAACCCGGAGTTATGCGATTTTCAAATCTCGTCAATTCGTCTTTTGTTTGAGCGCCACGCAACCCTTGATTATTCACTCCCCCCACACTACTGTTCAGCTTACATGTTCGGATGTGTCGGATTATGAAGACTTGATGTAGTGGTACATTAGGGTTTNTAAATGTGTTTATTAATAATGTTTTATCAGTTCCACTTGTTAATACTGATGTATCGATGTTTATGAAAATTTATTACATAAAAGTTGATCAAGCATTGCACGTGAAGTGTAAGTAACAAACTACATTCAACTGAAAATGCATAAAAGTGTGAATTTAGCTTATGAAAAGAAATTTAGGGGTGTAAAAAATTGTTCATGGTTCAAAAGTTGAATATTGCTGGCTGGCTGAGGTGGTTAAGGTGCTAGTCACTAATCTTTGGAATCTGGTTGCATAACCCCAGGAAATTTTTGCATGGTAGTCTGTCCCAGATATGTTGGACCTGTTCTATTGTAGGCCTGAAAGAAGACTCTTATATTCACAGACAGAAAAAGTAAAAAAAAAGTTGAGGACTGCTTGTAATTTATATAAATTATGCTTGTATCCAAATAATTGGATATTAATTTAATTTTATTTAATAAGCAACATTAATATATTTTAACAAGCAATTATTTATTGATATTGTCACAATGCTGGTCTGCAATTTTTAATCATATTTTTTATTAATTAAATTTAATATATATGCTCTTGATGTTAGTAGTGTCTTGTCCCTATAAATCATACTTTTCCTGTTAACAATAGAGTCAAGATGGTCATCTAACTCCATTCTGGAGAAACTTTTGAATTGAAATAACATGACTTCCAATCCAACCCAGAAGTTTCTACATAGTTAATCAGGCCTCTGGATTCTAAGCTTTCTATATCTGGTTTTGACTTTCATCTAACTAACTCCATTTTTGAGAAGGACAGACAGTTAAACCATATGAGTTATCATTAATGGCTTTTGTGCAAGCCATTAATGATAACTCATATGGCTTAACAGTGGATATTGAGCAGTCTAGCAATACTGAAGTCCATTGTTTGGACATAAACATTAAAGTGGAAGGATCCACCATCCTCATGTTGGTATACCACAAACCATGTGCTACCTCTACATACATACTGGTGGGTTCATACAACCCATTCTCCTACAAGGCTGCAGCTTTTAATACTCTGGTTAGAAGGGCATTTTTCCACTCATCCACCTCACAAGCCCTAGCTACCGAGTTAACTTACGTTAAGAAGATAGCAGCCAGACACGGGTATCCTAATCTAACACACCGTCTGATTGAGCGACATCAATGCTTACAATACACACCCACTATGCATGCAAGGGCCAGCACAGACCTGGAAGATCATATGCGTGTCTCAGTCACCTTTAACCCATATGTTAAAGCAGTGTACGCAGAGATTGCCAGCAAGCATCAAATGCAAATAGCATATAGGAGATGTCCCACAATCTTCGACATCCTTAGAAATGGAAAGGACTCTCCAGATCGTAACAGACTTCCCAGTGTGTACTCCATCCCATTCAAAGATGACAGATGGGACAAGAGCCTTATATATATATATATATATATATATTATATCGATTCCACCAAGCAATCTTTAAATACTAGAATACGTAAGCATCAAGCAAACCTTCGACACAGGTGACACACCACTGCCCTGGCCACCTATGTGTCTGATCCTGACATCGAGGCGGAATTCGACAGGGCCGAAGTCATCGTCACTACACTCCACCTAGAACATCTAAAATGGCTAGAAGCCATATCCATCTACAAGGCTAGCCACATAACCACTTGTATCAAAGATGAACTCAGTCTATCTGTAGCATGGCAGGCCCTTATAGACGGCGACCTTT